TAGTTGCTGGCGATTTTAATATCCATGTAGATAATGAAAAAGATGCATTGGGATCAGCATTTATAGACATTCTAACATCAGAGATGTAACATTAAAGGAAACGACACGGTGGAATAAATTCAAACATAATATTTATTACAGCAAAATGAACCAAAATAACAATCAAAATGTCAGTGCCAGTAGTGTCAGTCAGTATGAAGGGCAAGTGAATGGATGCACAAAATGAAGAGCTGTCAGTACTAGTGAGTGTATATGAAACCAAACACAAATGTCACAAAATTAGAGTGCGGTTCAGGCAAACTGCCCAAACAACAGCTGAGCAGCGGTGCCGACGAACTCTCGCACCACATTTAAATAAGAGCCTTTGACGAGCATCAGGTGCACTCAAGTCATGCCCCAATCACAAAACCTGCAACAGAGAAAAGAAACCAAAACACCCAAACCAACAAAACTCAATCCTAACAGTTGGCATTAGTGGAATTGCATTGTCATGGTTCAAATCAAACTTGTCTGACGGTTATCAGTTAGTTGCAGTAAATGATGAGGTATTATATCGATCACAAGCGCAGCATGGAGTACCACAATGTTCAGTACTAGGACCGTTGCTTTTCACGCTGGGTGTGTGTTCACGGTGTGTGTTTGTTCACTACTTACTGCCGTGTGGTGGGCACTTAGATGGATTAAATGCAGAGCACATATTCCAAGTATGAGTCATGGGATGGTTTTGATAGTTCAGTGGTGGTGAAGTTGTGATCAGGTTCTTCTGGGTTGAGTGAAGAATGATGAACTGCAGTGAGTTGTAGTGACAGTCCTCTCTACTGAGAGGAAAGTTTACAACATGGGCTGTCTCCACTTCTCTCTAACTTTTATTTGATCAGAATTATCAGAATGGGCCAGCAGTTTTGTGTCCCTTTATTCTCTGATTAATGTAACAAGCGTACAATGTGAGGATCATTTTGTAAGGTTGAAAATGATCAAAGACGTCTGCTTTCCTGTCCTTTCCTGTATCTTCAGTAACAAAAGGGCCATTTGGCATTCTTGAAGACAAAGAGGTGCTGACAGTCAAGTCAAGGCCTGTAGACCAACATGTGTATACATTGGGGGTCTGCTAACTGTCACATGTTTTGCACGGTGGGTAAAGCACGGTTTGTTGCCATGGTAAACAGAGGCCTCTTCTGCATCTGGGTTTTAGTTGTGACTTAGGGGTAGAGGTCTACACGGGTCCAAAAATTCGTACCCGAACCCGAAGAGACCCGTAAATGTGCTACACTGAACCAACCCGGACCCGTCTATTATTTTGAAAGTTGGACCCGGGCCCGTGCAGAACCGAGAAATGTCAAAAATGTACTACCCGGAACCGACGCGGACCATCAATTATTTGAAAGATGGACCTGAACCCGGCATGAACTTTGTTAATGTATAAATATACGTCCAAATATATGTAAACAATTTGTAAAGTGCAAATATACATCCAAAATATGTAAACATTTTGAAGGTCTGAGTATAAAGACATTTGTAAGCTACAAGACAGATAGCAGCAGTATGGCATTAGTGCACAAAAATACTGTAAAGTCTGTAAGTGCAGAGAGTATAAAGTGTCCTGTGTGCAATGAAAGAAATGTGGCATGAACTGTAGATTTTTGAAGTTCAGGAGTGGGTGGAAGAGGGGGGGAGGTAATGGACAGAGTTCAGCTTCCTGACAGCCTGATGGACGAAGCTGTTTGAAAGCCTTCTGGAGCGATGCTGATGGCTCTGCTAGTGAGGCGGGTGTGGAAGATGTCCATAAGACACCGATGATCTTGCTGGCTGCATTCACTATGCGTTGTAGAGTCTTTCAACAGGATGCAGTGCTGCATCCGAACCACACTGTGATGCAGCTGGTGAGGATGCTTTCAATGGTGCCCCAGCTACAGTCGTGTCATCCGCAAACTTGATGATGTGGTTGGTACTGTGACTGGGTACACAATCGTGGGTCAACAGGGTGAAGAGCAGTGGGCTGAAGTATGCACCCTTGTGGTGCCCCTGTGTTTAGCGTGATGGTCTTAGATGTTTTTCCGCCGACCCGTACATTTTGTGGTCTCTCTGATAGGAAGTCCAACACCCAGTTACAGAGAGGGGAGTTGAGTCCCAAGTGTCTCAGTTTGTTTATTAGCTGCTGTGGGATGATTGTGTTAAATGCTGAACTAAAATCCAAGAATAGCATTCGCACATAGGAGTCTTTGGAGTCCAGGTGTGTAAGGGCTGGATGGAGAGCAGCTGAGATGGCATCTTCCGTGAACCTATTGGTTCTGTATGCAAATTAGAACTGGTCGTGGGAGGGAGGAAGAATGGATTTTATGTGCTGCATGACCAGTCGCTCGAAGCACTTCATAATGATGGGGGTCAGTGCAATGGGCCGGTAGTCGTTGTGGCTGGATGGGTGCGGCTTCTTTGGGACTGGAATTATTGTGGTGGCCTTGAAACACTTGGGAAAGACTGTTTGACTCAGCGAGATGTTAAAAATGTCAGTTAGAACATCCTTGAGTTCTTCAGCACAATCCTTTAGGACCCGACCAGGTATGTTGTCTGGTCCGGCTGCCTTGCGTGGGTTGATCCTCAGGAGGGTCTTTTTCACGCTGTCTGGGGTCAGACACATAGCCTGCTCGTGTGAGAAAGGTGAGATCTTCTGTGCCTGTGTGTTGTTTTGGGTCTCAAATCGGCCAAAGAATTCATTGAGGCAGTTAATCAGAGATATGTCACTGTCACAGGTCCGTGGTAGGGCTTTATAGTTTGTTAGAGTTTGTATTCCTTGCCAGAGACTTTGTGTGTCTCTGGTGTTGCTGAAATGTCCAGATATTTTATTGCTGTATTGTTGTTTTGCTTCCCTGATTCCACGGGACAAGTTGGCTCTTGCTGTTGCTAGGCCTGCAGTGTCACCAGCTCTAAAGGCTGCGTCCCGAGCCCTCAGAAGCTTGTGCACTTCTCCTGTCAGCCATGGTTTCTGGTTAGCCCGAACAGTGATGGTTTTCCTGTGTGTGACATCATCAGTGCACTTTGCGATGTAAGCAGTAACAGCTTGAGTATATTCCTCTATGTCTGTGTGGTTGTTGTAAGTTGCTGCTTCTTTAAAGGTGTCCCAGTCTGTTGTGTCAAAGCAATCTTAAAGGGCAGACTGGGCCCCCTCTGGCCACACACGTACCTCCTTCTTGGTTGTTCTGGTGACTTTCACCTTCGATCTGTATGCAGGTCTGAGCATGATGGTGATGTGGTCAGAGAGTCCAAAGTGGGGGAGGGGGGAGGCTTTGTATGCTCCTTTGCAGTTTGTGTATGCCAAGTCCAATGTATTATTGCCCCTTGTGGGAAAGCCTATGTGCTGATGAAGTTTTGGTAGAAAAGCAGTGATGAGAAATCCGTCCGGGTGTGTTGTCTGTTGCTCGCTGATAGCCTGGTAAAGTTCACTGAGTGCCTCGATTCGGTCACTGTTGTTAACGCTGGGGGGGATATAAACAGCGACGAGTAAAATGACTGCAAATTCCCTCGGTAGGTAGAAGGGTCGGCACTTCATAATAATAAACTCTACCAGCGGAGAACAGTGTTTACGAACAACAGCAGCTTTTTGGCACCAAGCGTCGCTGACATAAACACAAACACCTCCGCCCCGAGTCTTACCTCCCTCAGCACAGACTCGGTCAGCGCGGTAGCATGTTAGCCCAGCTAGCTGAATAGCGGAGTACGGTATGTTGTCATTTAACCACGTCTCCTTAAAGATGTAAACACAACATTCTCTCACCTCACACTGTGCAGATCTTATAAGTTGTATGTGGTCCATTTTATTATCCAGTGATCTTACATTCGCTAGAATGAGGGATGGTATCGTGGGTCTGTGTGGGCTAGCTGCTAGCCTAGCCCGGATGCCTCCGCGTTTGCCTCGCTTCTGTTTCCTCTCGCAGCGCTTTCGGCACCTCCTCTCTGGGTGAGGAGCAGCAGGCGAGGTCGGTGTTTTAAGTCGGCCAGCGGAATATACCAAGGGCTCGAAGTTCCTCGGATACTGTGTTGTCCAAGATGTGGTTTATTGTCCTTGTTTCAGTTTCCAAAAGGAAATGGCGACTGTATCTTACATGGGACAAGGATGACGGCGAACCATACAAACATGAATGTGAACAAAAAGCACTCGAAAGTGCACAATTAAACACCGATGTCGGAAAGAGAGGGGCCGCTGCGTCCGTTCGCGCCGCCATTTATGAGACATATTGGATTATTCATTGAATATAATGAATAATTGTGTGTCTTATTGGTCCAGCTGCTACAGCCAATATACATATTTCTGCCTTCAGAAACACACAAGCCACAGCCCATCTCACCATCTGCTTTCTCTGTCTGTCCAACACAAACACTATAAGATTAGACTGAAAGATCAAAGCCTGCTCAAGCCATATGACTATCTGAACTGCTGCCTGTAGATGTCAATCTGAGATTATTGTGAATTAGATTAGATTCTGAGATTATTGTGACACTGTGGTGTTAGCCTACTGAAAAATCTCTTAAAAACAAATCATTTTTCATTATATGATTAGATATGATTATCACATACAGACTAGATGTTGTTTCTGAATGATTTCAGCTGCATTCCAACAGTCCTCAATGAATCAGCCTCTCCAGACTTTACTTAGACAAATTTTATTTGCACCCTAATTTAAATACTAAAACAGTACAGTGCAAGGCCATCATCCTGTTTGTAGAATTGCTTTTTTCTTTGCTGTAGTACTACTGTAGTAAAAGACAAATCTTTTTCTTGTCCAGCAGAAGTGAGTCAGTGACAGAAGATGACGTCAGAGCAGATGGATACACTGGATGAGGATCAAAACAGAAACGCCTTTTACAGATGCTGTTGCTGTTACAGACGACTGAAGTTCAGAACATCTAGTTGAGACACTTTTATTAGTTTGACGGAACAATATCTCACTTAATATTTATCTGTAACTTCTGTTTATATTTTAACATTCTTTATTCATCTTTTTCTTCACATATGAACATGAATGCCCAGACACAGAAGAGAAACATGGAAAAAAACAAGGTGAAGCAACTTTAACGTAACAATAAGACTCAGACAGAGCTGGGGTCATGAATCCATGTCCAGAAGTTTATCATCAAACATGATATGAACATGAAGAGAAGCAAAGATACAAAACCTAAAGAACAAAGAAATCAAAGAGTTGGTTCCCAAACTTTTTCTGCCAGCCTTTCTTTTGTACAGAATTTTTTTGTCAGAATTTATGATGTCAGAAATAGAACGGGACATCAGTTTACTGTCAGGAATTTGTTGCGCTGAATCCAGCATAGACCGCATCACTGATTATAGTAGGTTCTATTTGCTTTTTGTGTTGCTCTGCTAGTTGTGATGTTTGAAGTAGATTTATTATTAGTCCTTTCACAAACCTGTCCATGCTAAATGCAGAAACATGCATCATGAATTTATATTTTGTATCTTGTATCACAAATAACCAGTAAATAATGTATTATTATAATTATAATAAATTAATAATTACATTTTTAATTTAATTTTGTATCACGCTGATGAGGTTTCTTTTGCATAACAATCTGCTGCCTGTACATTATCACTTAGCCTTGTTGGGGACCCTAGTTTGAGAAACTTTAAACTAAACCAAACATCTAGTTGTAAGTTACATTTGGTCTGTATTTGATGAGTATTTGGCAATCATTTTAGGGTTTTTTAGCAAGTAACACTAAAGTTTTGTTGTTTAGATAAAAGATGGTGGCTAGTATTGTGGATTCCAGTTAATGGGTTCTTTGAACACATCACCAACAGAGTCAGAAAGCATAAAAATGTCTTAATGTTTATATTATTACATGGTATGCTTAAAAAGTGTGTGTGGATACTGACCCCTTAATAAAGGAATGAATATCGCTATTATATATGATGTTGTAATGCAAGCAAATCTGTCTAAAAAATCATGAATCAATCTCTCTCGTTCAGGACACTCTGATTCAGTCCAGATGAAAAATGACCAGACTGGAGTCAGCCAGGATATAAAAGCTGAAACATGTGCAAGTGTATATGCTCCTTTATTGGCTCGAAACATCATCAGTGGAACAATAAACTTTTATGGCTCAAATCCTGCAGGAAATGGTACATTTACATTACTATGATAAGACTGGTAATGTTACAACCTCATAGTAATTTTAATAGGACTCACATGACTAGGACTAACATCATTTTAATACTATGGAATGATATCTAACAATATTTATTTGTTTCTTTTATTTATCTCATTCTTTATGCATCTTTTCTTTCTCCTCACAGATCAACATACATTTTTAGAGACAGCAGAGGAACAGAGAGAAAATCAAGGTAAATCAACCATAGATATAACAGAGTTTTACAGCCAAACGTTTTAACAATATATGAACTACACCACTCCAGTTTGTCATAATCCTAATGAAGAAAATATTAAAACACCCAATAGGATAGAGTTAAACCTGCAGGAATTTAAATAAATAAACAGTTGAGAACTGAAGTGTTTAATAATTCATAGATGTTGTGATTCTACACTTAGATACTTCATAATGATTCCCCACCAAAATAATTTACACATCCTAAAAATGATCAACACAAAACTTGCACATAGCAGAAAAGTTACAAACCTGCATTGTGTATGTGTGGATTACCTTTTACATTAACCTGAAAGCTCCAACCAACTATGAGCGTGACATTAGTTACCATGATAAGAACTGTGCAAGAATATAAGATAAACAAAAATTTTTTAAATTAAATTTACCAAACCAAATACATAAACACGTTTAAGCCTAAATAGTATGAATTTACTTCAGAAATGAATGTAGTGTAATATAACATATTAAGACTTGTTTTCATAAATTGTATGTGGAATCTAAGTATTTTTTTCTTAACACTAAGAAATATTGGTGAAACTAATCACAAGACTCACGGTTCGGAACTTTTTATGGGTTTTAAGTCATGGAACAGATCATTTTTCATATCAGCAAAAAAATAAAGAAAGAAACGTAACTCTCTTTACAAATGTAACTTCGCTTTCCAGTTATTATTTAAAGAACACTTTAAGTACTGCTTAATTAGTGAACAAAAAAAACATTACTAACAGATACATTTTTTAATTTGGCATTTACAATTACAATTTTATGGAAACCGTTTCTTTTTTCTCAGAATTGTGTGATATAAACTCGCAATTATGACTTTTTTTCTCAGAATTGCGAGTTCATATCTTGCAATTGTGACTTTATAACACGCAATTGCAAGTTTATATCTCGTAATTCGGACTTTATAACTCACAATTGCGAGTTATAAAGTCAGAATTGTGAGTTACAATTCTGACTTTATAACTCGCAATTTTGACTTTATAACTCGCAATTGCGAGTTTATATCACGCAACTCTGACTTTATAACTCGCAATTGCGTGTCCTTCGAGATATGAACTCGCAATTCTGAGAAAAAATTTCAGAATTGTGAGATAAAAAGTCGCAATTACCTTGTTTTATTTTGTATTCAGTGGCGTAAATGGGCTTCCATACAATTTTCAATGTAAGAGTCATACGAACATTAAAAGTGCACCTCAGGAAACATGAAATAATAAAATAAAATACAGTTCATGACCCCTTTAAATCTCTTAAACAGTGCTGGGTAGTAACTGATTACATGTAATCTGGATTACATGATCAGATTCCAAACGTTTTGTACTTGTAATTAGATTGCATTACATTTTAAAATGTTCATAATCAGATTACAGTTACTTTTTATGGATTACATAAATTATTCACACAGTATATTAATAATTTATTGATTCATTTTTTTTCTCTTTCAAATTTTTCTCTCTAAAAAATTCTACTGTGTGCCATATTGAATACAGTGAGTATTTACAATATAGAATGGACATGTAAATGCCATGCAAATTAATTTGTAATCCATGCATCTGAACTTGGGGACAAATGCACCTCTCAATCTATACCATGTATGTGTTGAATAATTAAGCAAGTTACTAAACACTGCCGATGTATAACTGACAAAAATATTTAAAACCTGGAAGACTTTGACCATGTCATTGTTGTTTTCATGTTTATTGATGATTGTTCATGTGATGCAGGAATTCCTAATTTATTTATTTGCTGGTCAAATCCCTTTGAAGTCCACTGTCCCTCTGAAATTTAACCCTACTTACATCTATAAACAAGTGAAGTCAAAATAATCTAAAAATAACCCAAAAGTAGTCAGAATACATTACCTAAAATTAATAATTTAGATTACATTACTAACTACAGTTTTCATCATGTAGTTTGCAATCAGTAACAGACTACAATTTGTAAGTAATCTACCCAGAACTACTTTCAAGATCGCAGCAGAGGACGATTAAACACCTCACCATTATGTTAATTAGTGTGGGTTAGGGTAAGTTGAGCACTTGACCCTTGAGTTAAATTTTTATTTATTTTACAAACCATCACACCTCAAAGATGCTACAAAATACAACATCTTTCCAAAAGCATTTTCACTGATGTTTTCATTGACGTGACTGTTGATGTCTGTGTGCCTAAATGATACAATTGTCCAGAATGTTTTATGCAGAACATGTTTTAAATCTTTCAGAATAACTGATTGCTGTTGGATTTCGTACTGTAGTTGGTAATGCAAAATTGAAGTATATTAATGGCACAACATACTAATATCAATAAATTGGGTCACTTCATGATAATTGTCACCTTTAAAGTTAAGGGTTAAATATTCAACTAATAACCATAATGGTGACTTCAAAAGAACCTTTCAACAAAACATCAATTATTATTAATTATCACATAATGACTCACTTAGGGGCTGTTTACACCTGGTCACTTCATGCATTTTGTCTGATCGGATAGCTATCCGATCGTGAAAAGACCAGGCCTAAATACCCTCCGAAACGCATTCGAGGTGAAACGCATTCAAACACTTCAGGAGGTGGTCTGGGCCGCATTCCAGACGAAACTGGACAAGTGTAAATGCATCTGGTTTTTGAAACCACATATGTCAATTTTACTCCTCCCAAAATGTTAGCCACCACAAGCCAACGCGCAAACTGCCGCGAATGAAACAAAGTAAGACGCAGACGGTCAACACACAATCATCTTCATTAAAAGTAGTAAGACAAACTTATCTTTCCAGTGCTGATGTCGCGCGCTCTCCTATTGCGGTAATGAGCTGATAGTTAATGAAATGCAGCGCTTATCTTTTGATTTCGTTGACTCCGTTAAATTTAAATATAGCGTGGGAATTGAAGACTGGATTTAAATGCGTTTTGCGACGACACATTGAACTCCGTTAAATTTAAATATAGCGCGGGAATTGAAGATCGGATTTAAATGCGTTTTGCAACGACACATTTATGTGGCCAAGTGTAAATGGAAACGTTTGAACAAATCAGATAGATATCCAATCAGCGAAAATGCGTGAAATGACCAGGTGTAAACAGGCCCTTAATCATTTCGTGAACGTCAACACTGCTTCAATGTTATTATTTACACTCTGAGTGTGGACTTAAATTCACACCAAGAATTTTGCTGTGTTTTTAAAACATGAAAAAATCGTTCAGTCCAGTAAGACAAAATACTTAAGTAATAAAAACTTGTTGCTTCTCAAGTGTTAAAAGTGCTAAAGGAAAGTCAGAAAACAGAAACAAAGAGAAGGTGAGAAGAGATTTTCCTGTATAAAATAGCTTTTCTCTAAAAATAGTCCAATAACATGTGAAAGCAGCATTGTCCTCTTCCTTACAGTAAATTCAAAGTACTTTGACATGTTGGTTTGTCTTTTGATCCCAGTGCAGGAAAGTGCTGCTTGCAGCAGTATGAATATAATTTCTTTGCCTGCACCAGTTAACAATATTGTCAATGTCCATTTTCAAATGCCATTTCCTCAATACTATTCGTTTCTTTTTTTCGCCCTGAAGTTTTGAGGCTGCAAAAATTCTTGGAAACTCACAAAACCAACATGAAGAAGAAAGTAGAACGTATTTTTGAGTGCAAGAAAGAAAATGAAGCACGTCTCGAGGCTGTTTACACAGAACTGTTCATCACAGAGGGAGATATGAAAGATGTCAATCAGGAACATGAGTTTCTGAAAAATGATCATGCTCTAAAGACCCAGAAATCACAGGACAGACCAATCAACTGCAATGATATATTTACATTATCAAGGAGAAAAAATGAGAAAAAGATTGTGTTGACTAAGGGCATTGCTGGCATTGGAAAAACTGTGTCTGTTCATAAGTTCATCATGGACTGGGCAGAAGGAAAAGCCAATCAGGATATAGACTGTGTGTTCATGCTTCCATTCCGAGAGATTAACTGCATTAAAGACAGAGAGGTCAATCTTCATGAGTTCTTACAGGTATTTTATAAAGAACTGAAGGACCTGGCGAAATCAAAGTTATATACGGAATCTAAACTTGCATTTATATTTGATGGACTTGATGAGAGTCGACTGCCTTTGAATTTTGAAAGCGGAATATTGAACAGTGTTCAGGAAAGATCATCTGTAGATGTGCTGTTTATGAGTCTGGTCAAAGGGAATCTGCTTCCATCAGCTCTTGTCTGGGTGACCTCACGCCCAGCAGCAGCCAATCAGATCCCTCCTCAGTATGTAGGTTTGTTCACAGAAGTGCGAGGATTCACTGACCAACAGAAGGAGCAGTACTTCAGAAAGAGAATCACAGATGAGGCTCAAGCCTCCAGAATCATCTCACAAATTAAGACATCTCGTAGTCTCTACATCATGTGCCACATTCCTGTGTTCTGCTGGATCACAGCCACAGTACTTCAGGATATTCTCATTGAGAACAATACAGAGAACATCAGCACAACACTCACTGAAATGTACATTCACTTCCTGCTGATACAGATGAACATGAAGAATCAGAAGTATGATGAACAAGAAGAAAGACAACGTACAAAGCACTTACAATCAAATAGCGAAATGATTTTGAAGTTAGCCAAGCTGGCGTTTGAACAGCTGAAGGAGAAACACATTGTGTTCTATGAGGAAGATCTGGAAAAATGTGGTATTGAGGTGAATGTAGCCACTGAGTTCACAGGAATGATTGCTGAGATCTTTAAGAAGGAAAATGGACTTCATGAGATAAAGGTCTTCTGCTTTGTGCACCTGAGTGTTCAAGAGTTCCTCGCTGCAGTGCATGTTATCATCTGTTACATGAACAAGAACATGCAGGAGCTTCAGTTTTTCTTTGATGAGCCAAAACAAAATGTCACTTTGCAGGAGCTACTACAGAAGGCTGTTGATGAAGCCATAAAGAGTGAGAGCGGACATCTGGACCTGTTCCTACGGTTTCTGATGGGCATTTCACTGAAATCTAACCAAACCCTGCTCAAAGGCCTGATCACCCACACTGAAGACACCACAGAAAGCATTACACAAACAGCTGAATACATTAAACGAGTCCAAAACGAATACAGTATCTCAGATGAAACTTCAGTCAACCTATTTTTCTGTTTACTTGAGCTCAAGGATCATTCGTTATATGAGGAAATCCAGAGTTACCTTAATTCAGATGAACATCCGGGAAGAAAATTCTCATCTTCGATGTGCACAGTGCTGACCTACATACTGCTGATGTCAGAGAAGGTGCTGGATGAGTTCGACCCAAAGAGGTTCACATCATCACAAGCAGACTACAAGAGACTCATTCCAGCTGTGAGATGTTGCAGAAAAGCCTTGTGAGTAATTTCACTCACTGCGGTTCAATTGAAGGGTTAGTTCACCCAAAAATGAAAATTAGGCTGTGTTTTACTCACCCCCGATGCATCCTAGGTGTATATGACTTTCTTCTTTCAGACGAATCCAGTCGGAGTTATATAAAAAAATGTCTTTGATCTTTCAAGCTCTATCGTTGTACTCAGCGGGTGTTGCATTCCTTCTGTCCAAAAGACGTGAAATAAAACGCACCCTTCCACAAAAAAAAGTGGTGTGAGACACTTTTTTTTGTGGAAGGGTGCTTTTTATTTCACGTCTTTTGGACAGAAGGAATGCAACACCCGCTGAGTGCAACGATAGAACTTGAAAGATCAAAGACAATTTTTTATATAAATCCGAATGGATTCGTCTGAAAGAAGAAAGTCATATACATCTAGGATGCATCGGGGGTGAGTAAAACGCAGCCTAATTTTTATTTTGGGGTGAACTAACCCTTTAAATGTTTTGTTCTACATCACTAAACAATTAAATGCCAAAATACTATGTGAAATGTTTTCCTGTTAATGCATAAACACTAAACTTCACAAAAATAATCTGGCTAAACATTTTGTTTTGACAGATTTGACGGCTGTGGTTTTGATAAAACATGCTGTGAAACTCTGTCTTCTGCTCTACAATCATCAAACTCTCATCTGACAGAGCTGGACCTGAGTAGCAATCACCTGCAGGATTCAGGAGTGAAGCTGCTTTATGAAGGACTGAAGAGTTCACACTGTCAACTGAACATACTGAGGTTTGACATTCACATTCACTGAATTACTATGTTTAAATATGTGGATGAAAATGTGTTTCATAACTATAGCTAGCAGATATTTTCCCGTCTATATTATAGTATGATTATATCAGTGACATTTTCTCCAAGAACACAAGGCAATGCCTACTCAAAAACCTGATGAGAAAACAATCAGGGTTCTCAAGCATCCTGGAAACATGGAATTTTGTAATGCAGTTTTTCAGTTATAAGAATGAAATAATACCTACATTTCCTTAATCCTTTAAAGGGGACCTATTTATGCCCCATTTTACAAGATGTAATATAAATCTCAGATGTCCCCAGAATTTGTCTAAAGTTTCAGCTCAAAATACCCCACAGATCATTTATTATACCATTTTGAAAATGCTCATTTTGAGTGAAAGCAGAAATATGCTAAAATTATTTGCATGCGTTTTAAAGCCATATCAGTTTAAACCAGAGATGGGCACTAGAGTTAGTGACTCGGACTCGAATCGCAGTCGAGTCGCATTTTAATAGACTTAAGACTCGACTTCAGACTTGACCTAAAATGACTTCAGATTTGACTCGACTCGAGAAGAACTTGTGAATATTTTAAACACAACTTGAGTCTTTTATCCTTAACTACTGATATCATAAACTTGGAATTTACTTATATCGTTTTACTATATCTGCATCACATATTTCCTTGATGATGTAGATGGGACTCTTATCATAGTATTTGATGACGTACGTCAGCGTACATTCCGAAATGTCAGAAGAGTATGAAACGTGGTGGGAGCCACCGTGTATATGTTCTCACATTTGGTTACATTAGTGTGTCAGAATCAGGAACTTCATAAAGCTCGGCTATATGCAGTGAATGTGGGAAAACAATTAACTCTTTCCCCGCCATTGACGAGTTATCTCATCTTTTAGAAGACAACGCTTCCCCGCCAAAGATGTTTTGCTATTACACATCTTCTGAACGAGTACAAAACCTCCCGAACAAAAACACATGTGTACAGGACGGAGAAACGAGCGATCTCTTATGTAAACAGATTTTCTCACCTTTTTGCTCAAAATTATGCATTTTTTATGAAACCTACCTATATTCAAGAGTTGATAAAAAAAAAGAATGCTTTAAGCTAGAATAAAACTGATTGTTTTGTTTAAAAGTTTATTTTGGTGTATTGCATATTCAAATATTCATACAGTAAAATATTCTGGAGGCCATCAAATTTTAGTGAAAATCATCAAAATCGCTGGCGGTGGCTGGCAACTTTTTTCAAAAATGCTGGCGGGGAAAGAGTTAGATAGTTAGATAGATACCAGAATGACAGCATCAAATCTTAGAACGTATCACATCTTAGAATGCATCCACAAAGGTTAGTAACATTAACTCACATACTGTATGCTATGTTGTGTCCTGTTAAAAACATGAAAAAAAGAAAAAAAACCCATCTAGCCTTAAACCTAGCACAAAATTTCTTTTCGTAATATACACAGATACGGCTTTTTTTCCTCTCTTTATGTGTGTGTGTGTTCAGGTTTAACTAATCATAATGGAAAAACTGACGATTCAAATAAACATATTGATAATCTATAAACATTTATTCAGATGCAGCACCTAATAAATGTAATTATGTCTAACAATTAACGTTTTAATTGGTGCAATTAATTATGGAAAAAATAACGCGTTTGGGTTTATATATCATATGATATAATTTATCAATATCACGAGCAAGAGTGCTGTTTTTCCTGAATATCTGCACGATTGCAAATGTGATATTGATTTCATACAATATTGTAATAAACAAGAATATTATGTAAAATTTTAGACACAATATTGTATTGTCTGTTTTGCTCAATTTCACAAATGAAAATAGGTCACCCAAGCCACAGCAGAAATAGAAACACAGCGGCGTTTCGTTCCTGAATGAATCTATGTTACATTTTTTAACAAATTGAGTCAATGATTCAGTGGGCAATTCATAAAGACAGTCACTTGCCTCGTTTCTGAATTAATCATCCGTTTGAAGGAGTCGGTTGAATGAATGACTGAATGACTCATTCAATCATTAAGACGGTGACTTGCCGCCACCTACTGGAGGTTTTAGTTTCATATTTTGAGTATCATCAAAGCCACTGGAAGGCAAGCCTGCAACCTTTAGCCAAAAAAAAGGTAACAGCTAATGCTAGCGCTTCCGCTTTGGCGGTACGCAGGAAAGGAGACCAGAAGCCATTTGGTTTGAATGGATGTCAGTGGAGGAGAGGTTTCACTATGCTGAATAAACATTTTTTGAGGAAACAGCTTATCATTTAATGAATCGACAGCCTATCGGCTAATCTTCAACATGTTTTACACTAAACAATAGTTTTGGATTGAACTATTTATAGAGTATACACTGAAAAAATTTTGTTTTATAAGAGAAGCCACAGATTTTTTGTGACCGGTTGGATTCAGCTTACGGCACTTCTCATCCATTCTTATGGTATCCATAAATGGCGACTGAGTGTCACACAACTCTGACTGAAATTCAATGACGTCAAGGCTATAATGTGATTGGTTATCAAGGCACATGTGATCCAAGTTGACCATTACACTTTCTCCAATAGTAAGTAATACAGACCCTCTCATCTCCCAATAGTAAGACAATCTCTGGTATCATTTCATAAAAAAAAAATCATTCATTTCAAAATAATAAAAAAAAAAAAAAACATTAAAGCCCATCTATTATCATTATTTATGCTATGCTGAATCAAAATATTTCTTTCTAAAGCTACTTTTTGTACTTTTTATGTCTATTAAGTGCTTTTCTCATCTAACACAATGTTTTTAAATGATCTTTTGGGGGGCATATTTTCAGCTAAAATTGATGTGTGGTAAATTTGTGATTAATTAGATCTAGAATTAGATTAATTATCATCTAGTGGCTACATCATGGTGTTACAGATGATTTTGAATATGAACGAGCCTCCTCAAATTAATAAACTTACATGTAAGCTACAATCCTAGTAGTATCCCTGGAACATATTTTGTCTTGAAAAAACAACCTTGTAAATAGGATTTTTAAGGATGAGAATTTATTTGCAACAATTAATGAAATGACTCCAGACTCGTGATGAAAGACTTCAGACTTGAATCTGACTCCAACTTAAAGACTTCAGACTTGACTCGGACTTCAGATGAAAGACTTTTCGACATGTCTGGTTTAAACTTCTAATATACAGTTTTCTAAGCGCATACATCTGAAGTATGCGCACATAAAACGGCTGTCACACAGCATGTCAGTACTAAACTAAGTTATCTTTCATGTCTTATTGCGCTTAAACTGTCAAATACAAAAAAAAGGTTAATTCAAAAACACGTAATTTACATAAACACAGTTGGTTATGTCTGTGCTCGTAAACAGCTGGGAAAGAAATCGCATATTAATATTAGATCTGTGTATTAAGTGACATCCGCATAATATATAGTACCTACTGCTGTCTATGCTGTTAATATGAGCCAAACAATAAGTAAAAACAGAAAATCACTCAATGCTCTTGACTGAATAACTTCTGTAGCTTTAATAAGAAGACATTTCTTACGTGAATGCTGCTTTTAAATGCTCTAGCATGAAGATAAACAGACGTGTGCGGGGCCTGTACAAAGTGACGTAACTTAGGGGCGTGTCTAAAGGGGTGGCACCGGCCCCCCCTTGTGCCCCCCTAGCACAGACTGATCCGAGTATAACATCTGCAATTCGGGTGCATTTAAAATCTTACGCGCTGATGTCATACGCTAATCGGCAGTGTAGCGCCGCTTGAAGTGAAACACACCTACTCACTGTCTGGTTTACTGCCAATTATTTCCCGTATATTTACGACGCCATTGGATTAGAGTGCTGTCAATTACACAATGCTCAACGCCATTGGATTAGAGTGCTGTCAATTAATTACACAATGCTCAACGCCATTGGATTAGAGTTCTGTCAATTAATTATACAATGCTCAACGCCATTGGATTAGAGTGCTGTCAATTAATTATACAATGCTCAACGCCATTGGATTAGAGTTCTGTCAATTACACAATGCTCAACGCCATTGGATTAGAGTGCTGTCAATTACACAATGCTCAACGCCATTGGATTAGAGTGCTGTCAATTACACAGCTCAAACAGTAGAAGCGTGATTTTGCAGGTTGCAGACCACGTCTCTGTTCATTGTAAAATTATAGTTCATTGTAAAATTATATATATAATATGAAATACGTTAATGTATGTTGAAAGCTCCTTAGAGTTTGTGCTTAGTTGTGTTATTCAGCCGCGATGCACCAGCACCGTTTAAAATAAAAATCGTTATGTTACATTTCTTTCTGTTGTTTCAAAGATTAAAGACACTTGTGCAGTGCCATTTTTATGTCATCTCACTTGTGTTGGGGCACATGACTTTTCCCATGGGCCCCCCCTGACTGGTTCTTGGTCCCCCCTGTGCCACCCCATTAAAAAAAATCCTAGAATCACCCCTGACGTCACTTTGTACAGATTCTGAGAACGGATTGTTCTGAGACACTGCTTATGATTTATGGGGATTAAAAAAAGGAGTGGGTGAATTTTTATCATTATAGGGTGGTTGTGTACACACATTGCCAACACACATTAGTTAGGTCCCAAACTAAGTTCTTCTTCAAATGTAGTACTTTGACAGTATGCAATTTTGTAAGTAGTAAGAGAAAACTGACTTAAAAGAAATAAAATTATGGTAACAGTTATCCTTCTTGGAAACAATGTGAATTCATACACATTTTACAACATTAAAATTTGAGCTTGTGGAGCTATTTATTTACATACCTACAGTGGGTATAGAAAAGAATCACCCACCTTTAAAATAATCACATTTTGTTGCTTTGTAGCCTGAAATGAAGACGGACAGAGGTTTTGTTTTATCCAGCTGTATTTACTCAGTGCAACTTATAACATCCAAGTGAAAGATATAACACCAACAAACTTATAACATCCAAGTGAAAGATAAATCAC